TTGCATTTCTGCATATGTACGCCTGATTGAAACTGGTGTAATCACAGCTGCTGTGCCTGAGACCCCCTGAGCACCAACCCTACTCTACCCTCAGGTTGCCCTATTTCTACTCTAACAAGGTGAAACAAACTATCATGAACCAGGAAAAACTTACCAACTGCCAGCCCAGGTACACACATTAGTGGACAAGGTATTGCGTACAGAAAGAAATGGTTCATAGAAGAGCTACAGCAGATAGCAAAAAAACAGTTCTCTTACAGGTAAAAAACATCTCAGGTATTGATGGGTAACTAGGTGTGTAGTAAGCAACAGTGATCTACTTTAGCAAGCCTAAAGCTCAGGCATCTCTACTAGGAAATATTCACCAGTGTAGGCCATGCTGAGGTAAAGTGGCTGACAGAACTGCTACCCATTTGGTGCAGTCTAAGTAATTAATGGAGAGTGCTGAAACTGTGCTCAGTTTGTGAATAAAAAACCACCACTTACTACTAGAGAAGACGATGATGAAGTTTCAGATCTTGTGGAGAATTTTGATAAGCCTTTTAAGAATAAGGCAAACTAAAATATGTCAACTTCTGAACAGTATAAAACTTGAAGAAATTACTGGGAGCTGCTCTTTTTATTATGACTGCTTTAAAATTTTCTTTGTTTATTGATCTGATAAAGTTTAGATTTCTAGTATTTTTAAACCCAAGCACTTGGGACATTGCACCTCTTTTTAGTTTTTGTTTATACAATTCATTCTTTAGCCAATCAAGTTGAAGAGGGCTGGAAATAAAGTTTGAAAGAAAGGTTAATAATTCTTTCCATAACCCTAAAAATATTAAGTAACTTGCCCAAATGAAGAAACACTAGAGCAGAGATTTCAAGTCAGTTTATCAGCATTTAGAGACGACAGTCACTAAGCATAGTGCCTCAGTACACTTTCGTTTTCAGGTACTATCTCCAGATGTTGTCCATATACACATATTTTACCCAGTTGTAATCAAAGTTGTGATCAAAGCATACAGGAATATTTGTATACTGATTTCTTCTAAAATATTATTAAAATTTCTGATACATCTACATAATTTTCATAATTATGTTCCATCACTTAACTTTCTGTAATATTGGTTTACTATAATTATGCAAACCATTACCTCTTTATTAACATTTAGATTATTTATAAATTTCTTAAACTAGTACTAATAAGATTGTAGTTTATAAGGTATGCCTTTTGTCAAATTTATTGACCTATACAGATTCTTAGGAGAGTAATTAATAGACTAAAAGACAATTTAAATGATTTTGTTATATTGCTTTAATTTCTAAAATATGCCAAAATATGCAAAATGACCAAGCAAATGCATCTGGTTATTATAACCTTTAAATGCTTGCTAATTTAGTAGAAGTGAAATGAACATTTGAATGATTATGGAATGAACATCTTATGTGCACAAGATAAGGACTCATAATAGGTCATAGGAAATATTTGGATGAGCGAAACAATCAGAACTACAAAGCCTAGTATGGGAAATAATATAAGCAAATAAATTTTTATACTGAAAAATAGAAAAACAAATTCTACTAGTGCATTATAAAGGCCAATGAGGAAGAGATTATCTCTTGTAGAGGAATACAGGGAAAACCTCAAAGAGGTTTTTTTTTTTTAAAGAAAATTAAAAATAAGAAAAGAAAACAATAAAACTGATACAAAATTTCAAAACAAGATGATAGGAAATTAACAATGGTTGTTGGGGGCTGGGGATTTAGCTCAGCGGCAAAGAGCCTGCCTGGCAAGCGCAAGGTCGTGAGTTCAGTTCCCGGTACCAGAGAAAAATAAAAAAAACAAAACAAAAAAAAAACAATGGTTGTTATAGTGCATATTGTTATCTTCAAAGTAGTTGCTCAGATTACCAGATAGAAGCATGCAAAATTGATCAAACAATTAAGCATTAATCATTCCTTTCAATAAACCAATAGAAATTTGTAGTACAATTATCTTAGGTATCTTGTGCATATAATATATATTTTTCCCTTCCCTTTTTCTTTCTTTTCTCCCAGTTGTTCTTTCCTTTTGAGCAGTTTCTTTCCTTTTCACAATATCTATTGTACCTTTTGGGTTTTATTTACTCTTTCAGTTTCTTACACTAGGGAGACAATACGATGCTTACACATGTAGAAAACCCCCAAAACTCCACCAAAAAATTTCTAGATTTAATAGCCAAATTCATAGCATAGCTGGATACAAAGTCAGCACTCAGAAATCAGTAGCATTCCTGTACACAAAACAACAGATTCACTGAGAGAGAAATTAGGGAAACCACACCCTTCACAATACCATCCAAAAAAATGAAATACTTAGGAATCAGTCTAACAAAGGAAGCGGAAGATGTAGCTCAGCGGCATAAGTGCCTGCCTGGCAAGTGCAAGGTCCTGAGTTCCATTCCCAGTGCCAAAAAAAAAAAAAAACATTTAACAAAGGAAGTAAAAGATCTATACAGTGAAAGTTACAGTACTCTGAAGAAAGAGATCAAAGAGGATATTAGAACATGCAAAGATATTCCTTGCTCATGGATAGGAAGAACCAACATTGTGAAAATAGCCATACTCCCAAAACTGTTATACAAATTCAATGCAATCTTCATCAAAACACCATTAGTATACCTCACAGATCTAGAGAAAACATTCCTAAAATTTATCTGGAATTAGAAGAAACCTAGAATAGGGGCTGGGGATTTAGCTCAGCGGCAAAAGCGCCTGCCTGGCAAGCGCAAGGTCGTGAGTTCGGTTCCCGGTACCGGAGAAAAACAAAAACAAAAACAAACAAAAAAAGAAGAAACCTAGAATAGCAAAAGCAATCCTGGGCAACAAAGGCACAGCAGGAGGCATCATAATCTCTGACTTGAAATTATACTACAAAGCTATTGTGATAAGAAAACAGCATGGTACTGACATAAAAATAGACCTGAGGATCAATGGAACAGATTAAAAGATGCACGCACAGCTGCAAACACACTCAGCCACCATATCTCTGACAAAGGAACAAACATGTGCCATGGAAGAAAGATAGCCTCTTTAATAAATGGTGCTGGAAAAGAGAAGGTTTTTGAGATGGCTCTTAAACAATAGCTAGAAATTCAAATATAGCAAGAGCAGGTTACAAGCTGAAGGGAGAGAATGAGCAAAATGATGATGAAAACAGTGTAGGCAAATTTAGTGAATGGCTATGATTGATCTATATCTCACAGAATTAGAGTCAAGGAAGATTATGTTGGGAAGATTGAGATTTTAACGTCAACTTTATCTTTATAATTAGATTTTGAATTATCTGGCAACTCTGTGAATTTATAAAAATGAGAGAGGAAACTACTTTGAAGATTGTTATAGTTTTGATGTGATTTATTCTCAAGGGTTCATGTGTTGGAAACTGCATCCCTGGAGGTTCAGTGTTGGGAAGTGGTGTACAGTTTTTAGGAGGTGGGGCCAAGTGGGAGGTCCCTAAATCATTTGAGGGTATGCCCTCAGAAGGGATTATGGAAACTCAATTTCTCTGTTTGACTCTCTTGTCTAGTAATGTTATCTCTCCCCCAAGTGCTCCTGCCATAGGATGGATCCTTGAGCATCCTCCATCCTTGAAGGAAGACAACACCAGTGCTGAGGTGGTGCTATACTCTTGAACCTCTAGAACTATAAGCTAAATAAATCTCATTTCTTTATCAAGCAGTTTCTCTTCAGGTATTTCATTGCAGTAACAATAAGCATATAAATACTAAGTGTAACTTTTTTTCTTTGGCAGTATTAGGGATTGAACCAAGAGCCTAGCATGTGCTAGGCAAGCACTCTCTCACTGAGTTACATCCCCCACACAGTTGTAATTTTTTAGATTTCTAGGAATATTAGAACCTTAGAATGGTAGTATAATATGACTTGGTAACAAGGGAAAGATAAAGACATTTTGGAGACAGAGTCAACAGGGCTTATCAAATGCAGATATGTAGGGTAAAGGGCAAGAAAGTTGTAATGCTATTTCTGAGAATTTAATATACTTTTAAAGTACATTAAGTATATTAATTAAATACACTTTATTCATGTGTTGGAAACTGCATCCCTGGAGGTTCAGTGTTGGGAAGTGGTGTACAGTTTTTAGGAGGTGGGAACAAGTGGGAGGTCCCTAAACCATTTGAGGGTGTGCCCTCAAAATATATTAAGTATATTAATTCACAAGAAAGTTGTGACACTATCTCTGAGAATTTAATATAATTTAATTTTATTTGTTTGTGTATTTATTTATTTTTGGTTTTTTTGAGACAAGGTCTTGTTATGTAGTTCAGGCTGGCCTCAAACTCTCAGTGATCCGCCTCCCAGCCTCCCAAGTGCTGGGATTACAGGTGTGTGCCACCATGCCCAGCATGCAAATTGAATTTAAGAGCACTAGAAAATGATGGTGTATTAAGAGAATAGGAATTTCAGGATACATAGCTAGCTTTGTACAGATAAAGACATTTTTAAAAATCACTGATATGGAGCATACTATGTTCTTTCGCTCCTTTGTTTTCTCTTATTCAGATTAAACTAACTAGCTATAGTAAATTCTGTGGAGAATAGAAACAAATCCTGGACTGATCTGCTCTGAAGTTATTTTTCCTGTAGGAGAGAAAAATCACATATAGAACTAGCACACAAGTTAGAGAGAGATTGGGTATCAAAACAGAAATTTGTGAAACCACAAAACAGTTCTTGTTATGTTTAACAAAACAAAACAGAAGTCCCTTTCATACTCAGGAATATTCTCTACCTACAAACAACCCTCCTGTCTGATTCCGCCATTTTTGCCACCTATTAATCACTACTGGAATTTTTTTCTTTATGGCGGACATGTCACTTGAACTACAGAACATGTACTCTTAATCCCGGATAAGGGGCCCTGGAAATGATTCAGGGAACACAAGAGAAAATAGCTTTAGGAAAATTTTGCCTCTGTATACAGATACTTTTCTGCTCTGTATTCCTTTGCCTAGGACTCATTTTCAGTCATGGAGAGAGATGGAAGCTCATGCGGCGCTTCTCCCTCATGACCCTGAGGAATTTTGGGATGGGGAAGAGAAGCATTGAGGAGAGAGTGCAGCAGGAAGCCCGTTGCCTCGTGAAGGAGTTGAGAAAAACAGAAGGTGAGTTCCATTGGCTGTGCCCTTGGGGTTAAGGGTACTCTCTGTACTCATCACCCCCAACCCCTCTCCTCCTCTGCCCTCTTCATCAGGGAGCTAGGTAGGACTAAAGGGGGAGGAAAATGATTTCCAAAGCTTCAGAATTCTGGAATACTTTTGTCTGTATTCATTTTCCAACCTTCACACTTACTGGATGTGTACATTTGGACAAATTACTTAACTTGTTAAAACATTTTCCTCAACTGAAAAATTGGGCTAAAAACCAAACTCAGAATAAAGATGAAATAATACAATATGTGGAACATTTCATAATGTAAGTTCTCTAAATTGTTGCTATTGTTACTATTATAGTACAGTATTCTATAATAACATATGTTATCAGTATAGTATAATAGTATAGAGCATATAGTATCACCTGCTATAACACTAGTTATATATACTAATAGTATATATATGATAAATACTAAAATATATATGATTAATATTATTGCAAGATGCTTACATTCTGTTTTAAGGCAGTCTAGAGGAAAATAAACTATATGTATAAGTCTGAAAAGAGAGAAGCCTTGTTCTTGAAATTCTAATGCAGGATGGTTAACATTCTCAATGTGATGGTTGTGCTTTCCTCATATCAGGTCAGCCTTTTGACCCCACCTTTGCCCTTTCCTGTGCTCCCTGCAATGTGATCTGTTCCATCCTCTTCAATGAGCATTTCCAATACAAGGATGAGAAATTCCTCACCCTGATGGATCTGTTAAATGAAAATTTTAAGCAAGTAAACTCTCGATGGTGCCAGGTAAGGCCAAGGTTGCATCTATGTCCATGGCTGTTCTCATTGGTCCCTTGGCGCCTGATGCAGAATAAAGGGCTGTAAAGTCCCCCACGGTCCACGAGCAAGGTTCCAACATGGGAACTGTGCTACCCCCTTGATGTGTGTTGAATGAACAAGTGCACTGGCTCCTAACCCAGCCTCTAGGGAAGTTTTCCCCCTGCTTGCCCTGAGCAGTTTACTCACACAGAAGAAAACAGAGTGGGCTGGATGTGCAGCTCAGTGGCAAAGCACTTGCCTACCATGTGTGAGACCCTGGATTTGATTCCCAGCACCTCAAAAAATAAAGGGAGTACAGAGCCTTTCCAGCTGTCTGTGTTTTCTGTCCCTCAGCACATCTTCCCCCTTCTCTATGGGAAGGTGGGAAGAGCAAGGGGATGGGAAAGGGATGGTCTTCTGTGCATGGTGAGCATCTTCTGTTAGCTAAGCAAACTGTGGCACATGCCTGTTATCCCAGCACTAGGGAGGCTGAGGCAGGAGGATTACCACAAGTTTGAGGCCAGCCTGGGCTACATAGTGTGTTCAGGGGCAGCCTGAACTATAAACAAGACCCTGTCTCAAACAAACAAACAAACAAAAGAAACTGCTCTCCTTACCACCCGAGTTCCTGGTGTTGGTGGCGGCTGCTTATTTATTTGTTTCCATTTTTAGATGTACAATCTTTGGCCAATACTCATAAAGTATCTCCCTGGAAAGCACAAGGAATTCTCAAAAAGGCTTTATGATGTCAAAAATTTTATTCTGGAAAAAGTAAAGGAGCATCAAGAGTCCCTGGACCCTGATAACCCTCGTGACTATATCGACTGTTTCCTTAGCAAGATGGAGCAGGTACTATACACAGGTGGCCTTGTTCCCTGATACTGTTTTTCATTCCTCTATGAACATGCAGAAAAGTGTAATCATACTGTGTAGGTAATCATTCATAGTTTGGTAGTTTATGGCCATGGAATCTACTATTACTCTTAAAAATGGAAATTCAAAAATAGTCTAAAGATGTTCTTTTTCCTTCATATTTCTATTACTTCTTACACTTGGACACATATTTACACATAATTTCCTTGAGTAGATAAAATATACAAATTTTCTCTGCAGATCATTTACATTAACATAGCCATTTTTGCTACAGTGCTTTCCCAGAGACCGTGTCAGAGACCAATACATTATTAAAAACCTGATTATGTTTTTACAAAGTGTGATTGAAACATACAGTAAATATTTAAATTTTTAAAATTTATTACAAGCTGGGCATGGTGGCACACACCTATAGTCTCGGCACTTGGGAGGCTGAGGCAGGAGGATTGTTGCAAGTTCGAGACCAGCCTGGGCTACAAAGTGAGCTCATGGGCAGCCTGAACTGCATATTGAGACCCTGTCTCAAAAAGAGAAAATAAAGTAACTAATTAATTAAGATAAAATTTATTACAATAAAAGACACATTGCCATTAATTTTCCTCAAAACTGCCCTTCACTTTTGACACATTTACCCCATCATTCTTACCACTTTTTAAAGCAGTTCTGAAAGTCTTTTTCCAAATTTTAGTTGCATTATTGTGGCTGCCTTGATGTCCTGAATCATCCTGAATCCATTCAAAATGTTTACCTTTCATGGTCATTTTGATTTGGAGAAGAACCAGAAGTCACATGGTTCTAGATCTCGTGAATACAATGGATGAGGACACACCATAATATTTTTAGAGCCCTACTTGGCAGCAGCATTCATCCTATTTTTTATCATATCTCATAAGGACACTCACAAAAGAGGACTTCCAGAACTGTTTCGTAATATGGCAAGAATGATAAGAGTGACTGACACCGAGGAAGTATTTTGAGGGGAATTAATGGCAATGTGTTTTTTACTGTAACAAATATTTTTAATTTAAACTTTTATCACATATTTTGAAGATCCCCTTATACATAGAAACAATTTTGTTATTTGAACTTGTTCTGGATGAAGGATACTAAAATAAATACGCTACAAATATACTGTGAGTAGTATTAAGTATAGAGAATAACAACTATAGCAGATCCACGCATTCACAGAATGCCACTGAACATAAAACACCAGCATGACAGGAGAAAGCATATTTAAATGTATAAACACATATTACAACTAAAAATCTGAAAATTATGCTTTGAGCCCTAGAAGATTACCAACATTCATGTAAAGGACCCAAAATATGTACAAATGAAATAAAAATACCATTCACCAACATCATAAATATGCAGATTATAACAAACAATGATAACCTGTGATATTAGCCTCTAGGAGGGTTGTTTTCCTGGAAAACAAGTCCAAGGAGAAAATGTTGATGTCCCTTTTACTTTTCACAAACTTCCTAGAATCAGTTGAACCATTTGAACCCATTCTACTTTGTAAGGAGATCCATTGAAACAACCTATTTATTCTAATTGGGTGTTCAAAGGACCAGGTGTTTCTCTGTGAAAGAAAAATACCCGGCAGGTCATTGATTGAATCATTCAAAGTGATTGCTGACTCTGTTCTTTCAGATTTGCTTGATAAAGGAAATAAAACAATGAACAAATCACATACCCTGCAGTCTTCTTTCAAAGCACTTCCGCTGTTTAGAGAAATATTTATTTAATTTACTTTTGTAGTCCCTGCTGCTATAAAAGGGCTGGGGTGGTGTTGATTTTCAATGCTTTGGATCACAAGCAACTAGCATGATTGTCTGAAATGTTATAAAGATTCTTTGAATAAATTTACTAGTTAAGTAGTAGTGATATGTCCTTTGTCTGAATAAAGCTTACAGTCTCATGCAAAGATCACAAAAGCAAGCAGTAGCAAATTGGTAACAAGTAATACCAGCCTGAGTACAGTGGCACATACCTTAGTCCCAGCTACACTTGAGCCTGAGGTAAGAGAATTGCTTGAGCCCAAGAGTTTGGATACAGCCTGGAGAACAAAGCAAGATCAAACCCACAGGCAGTGAACAAAGAAATACTGACAAGGTAGTAGTTGCTCTGGGAGAATATGGCAGGAACACCAGTGCCAGTCTCCTGGGAGTCAGAGTGGGACTTAACCAAGGCTGGCTGGACACCTCTCTGCAGAGGTAACAGTTGAGCTAAGAACTGAAGAGTGTATAGTGATTATGGATATGAAGGTGCCAAAGAAAAATATATTAAGCAGTGAAATGCAATGTAGAAAAGTCCTGCAGCAGAAGGAAATGTAGACGTATGAGGGGAAGAAGGAAAGCCTGTGGTGGAAGAAAGGCTGAAGCAGCAGGAAGTCAGCTGATGGTGAAATTAAGAGAAATCAATAGATTTGAGTGATTAAGGAGGCAAAAATCTCTTAGTAATACCAGCAGTATTGGTGGTGAGTTGGGAAATGTAAGAGATGAGGTGATAGATCCCTACTCCCGTAAGGTGAAAGAGCCCACTGCCAGGCACCAATTCAGGGAACGCCTGATAGAGACCACTGGCAGTTGTCACTATGCATGCCTAACTCTTGAAATGCACTGAAGTAGGCTAGAGGAAAGACCAAAAGGAATGTTGAAACCAGGTACACTGGTGATACAGGAAAATAAATACTTACAACCTGAATGATATCTGGGACGAGTTCGTGTTCTCTAAAATCGAAGAATGAATTTTAGGAACAATGGAGGTTAAGAGCAGAATATATTTATTGAGGGAAAGAAAAGAAAGCTTCTGTCCAAGAGAGGGACAGAAGGGGGGCCCGAGTGGGTTACCCCAAGACTCTGTCTTTCCTAGGGACTTTTATAGAGCAAAACCATAAGGTGAGGTGGGTCCAAGGTAGGGGAAAAATGGACAAAACTATGGTCAGCCAATAAGAATTGTTCAGGTAAAATTGATGAAATCAGGATCAAATGGGGAAGCAAGTGGCTTAGCAAGTGGGCATGAATACAGAAGAGGGGCTTTTCCTGTAAGGAGTTGGGTCAGGGGCTCTTCAAGGTGATGGCTACCTATTTAGAATATCAATCCCTGATGTCCATCCCTAGGGAGGTATGTGGGTGTATCTGTTTAGTCCTTTGTCCTGAGGTCTGGCCCACAGCAAATGCGTATCTTTCATGTTGGCTGCTTCAGGGCCTGGCCCTGCCTGACTGCCTATATTTCTGTCTAACTTAGCTGCCTATAACATTGGCACATGCCTATAGTCCTAGCTGGTTGGGAGACTGAAGTAGGAGGATCACTTGAGCCCAGGGATTCAAGACCACCTGGACAACACAGTGGGATGTTGTGTCAAAAAAAGGAAAAAAGACTATATAGACTTTACACCATTCCTTCTCTTCTTTGCTCTACTTCTGTTTTTCTGGATGATAACTATCAATAGAAGATGGATAGAAACTTCTGAAATGTTTCTCTTTCCTGCAAGTTTTGTTCTATTTCATTTTAATATTAAATCGCTACAACCTTACTACATATAAGATTTAGGTTGTGTTAAGAATTAAGTAAAACAATAAAGTCCATCCTACTTAAATTGCAGAGCTAAAAAATCAATAAGATATTTCTGTTTTCTTCTCAACTTTCTTTACCATCACAGATTTTTAGCCAGGCATGGTGGTGCACACCCTTAATCCCGGCATTCAGGAGGCTGAGGCAGGAGTTTGAGGCTAGCGTGGGCTACATAAGTGAGTTCAAGCCAGTTTGCACTGCATGATGAGACCTTGTCTCAAAAAAAATTATTTTTTCAATCACATTTTATTGGTACATTTTAGGTACACATAATGATCACATTCATCATAGGGAATTTGTAACTGTACATGATATAATTTGATTCTTTTTTTTCCCATCCCACTACCCTCCCTTTAACCCCTTTTTCCCTCCCCATTTACAAAAGCTTTGCTTCCATTTTTTTCCTTCTCTTATCCTTTTTCCTTCTTTCTTTTTTACTTTTCCCTTCTTTCCTTTCCCCTTCCTCCTTCCCCATTTGAACATTTTCTTCCTATTTCACAATACCTATTGTGCATTTTGATCCTTATTTATACTTTTGGTTTCTCACATCAGAGAAACTATGCAGTATTTAAACATGTGTGTCCAATTTATGTTACTTAAAAATAAGGTCTCAAGGTCCATCCATTTACCTAGAAATGTCTCAAGTGTATCCTTTATGGGAGAGTAGTACTCCATTGTATAAAAAAGCCATATCTTTATCCATTCACCAGTTGATGGGCATTTGGGCTGCTTCCAAGATTTGACTATTGCAAACTGTGCATTATAAACATGGGTGTGCTTATATTGCTGTAATATGATGCTTTTAATTTTGAGGGGAAGGGAATAACTGGCTCAAATGGAACCTCTAGTCCTAGTTTCTTGAAAAATCTCCACATTGATTTCCACAGTGGTTGCACCAGTCTGTACTCCCACCAACAGTGGAGAAGGTTTCCTTTTTCCCCACAGCCCCTCCAGCATTTGTTATCAGTTGATTTCTTGATAATAGCCATTCTTTCAGGGGTAAGATACAACTTCATTGTTGTCTTACTTCACATCTTTCAAATGACCAGTGATACTGAACATTTCTTTCAATGTGATAAAAGCCTTTTATGATAAAGCACAAGCCACCCTGTACTAAATGAACAAAAACTGAAAGCTTTCCCTCTAAAATCGGGAACAAGACAAGGATGTTCACTGTCACCACTCATATTCAATATAGTTCTTAAACATTATCCAAAGCAATTAGACAAGAACAAGAAATAAAAGGAATAAGGATAGGAAAGGAAGAAGTTAAATTATCATTATTTGCAGATACATGATACATAGAAGACCCCCAAAACTCCACCAATGAATTTCTAGATTTAATAACAAAATTCAGTAGCATAACTGGATACAAAACCAACACTCAAAAATCAATTGCATTCCTGTATACTAACAACAAACTCACTGAGAGAAATTAGAGAACTAACATTCATCAAAATAGCACAAAAAAATGAAATATTTAGGAACCAATCTAACAAAGGAAGTAAAAGATCTGTAATTGAAAGTTACAGTACTCTGAAAAAGGAGATTGAAAAGGATAGCAGAAAATGGAAAGATATCCTTGCTCATGGGTAGGAAAAAGTAACATAGTGACAATGGCTATACTTCTAAGAAAGTAATTTTGGGGGGTGGTGAGGGGGCTGGGGATTTAGCTCAGCGGCAAAGCGCCTGCCTGGCAAGCGCAAGGTCATGAGTTCAGTTGCCGGTACCGGAGAAAAACCAAAAAAAAAAATAAAAATAAAAAAGTAATTTTTAAAACAAGTATTACTATTTTCTGCAAATTCAAAAATATATTAAAGTTCACCAAGAAAATCAGCAATGAAAATAACTTAAATATAGTAAATATGAAATTATTGTTGGTTTAGTCCTACATCATTAAACATTAATTTTGTCAACAAATTCTAAGTGCCAGGACTGTTCTTGAGGCTAAGGTTACAACAAAGAAGACTTAATCCCTGGTTTTTTTAATGAAGTCATTTTAAAATAGAAACTCCATGTACTATTTTTAAATCCTGAATCAATTTGTTTTCTAAGCATTTGATAGAGACCATTTAAAAAACTATGAATCGAAATGTCTAATTTTACAAATATGGTCTTCATATTAGAAACGTCATTAATAATAGTGAATGTTGTATCGGAACAGGTGGATCTTGGAGTGTCTTAAGTCTGAGTTGGAGAAGGAGGTGGACAAGTCATGAACTAGTGAGCTTCCCTACATGTGCTTGCATAGAGCTTATCATCTAGTATTTCTCATGAAATGTAATAATAAAAGAATGTATAATTCCCTGAATATTTATATATATGAAGCATGTGCTCAGAGCTTCCTGTCCATTAACGCTTTTAATCTCTGTAATAACCCTGTAATAAGCCATTGCCGTCTAAACTCATGTAGCCAATAACTCTGCCATCTACAGGAGAAAGACAACCCGGAGTCTGAATTCGAGTTGGAGAACTTGGCAGTCTGTGGATCTAATTTATTTACAGCAGGAACAGAAACAACCAGTATCACCCTGAGATTTGGGCTTCTGCTGCTAATGAAACACCCAGAGGTGGAAGGTACACTGAATGTCCCGGATGAGACCCTGACCTTGGGGAGGGCGGGTCTGTGATGAATCATTTTCCCTGGACTCCCACACAAATGCAAAGGGCCATTCACCGTGTTCTTGCTTTTGTTGATTAGAATGATATCTAATGATATTGACAAGGGAGAGAGACATTTTAAGAACTCAAAGCCTTTTGTTTAAGCTTAAAAACAGACGCGCTTCTGAATACCAAATCTCATATATGAGAGATGCAGTGCTAAAGCCCTAATTAAAAGAGGACATTGCATGTGGGCCTGCACATACCGGGCTGTTTGACCTCAAACAAGTTACTTAATGTTGCAGACATTGATTTTTCCACTGTGCAAAGCCCAAATTCCCCAAAAGGGATTTTCAGTTCTGATATAACTTTGAAGTAAAATTCAAAAGTGATTTTGTCATAGCTAGATAATCCCAAGCCTGTTCTCAGAGCACAGGCTGTAGGAAGCCCGTGTTTACAATGCTCAACAAGATGCTATTTGTGGGGGCTGGGGATTTGGCTCAGCGGCAAAAGCGCCTGCCTGGCAAGCGCAAG